ATGAAACACAATATCTCTAGCTTGTAAATAAATGTGGAGGGAAATTTGAAATTGGCACATTCGTGTTTTAACTTGTGAAGATAACCAAAAAATAAATTAAAACTGGCCAGTGTCTCATACAAAAATTTGTTCGGCAAAATTTTGTTGTGTGGTAAGTAGTATATTTTTAAGTTTGAAAAACAATGAGCTATATCATTGTGACCTTCTTTATCTGCCTACCACACAATGTACCAACGTCCAGGTACCAGACATTGTTTGAGTTTTGAGATTAAAACAACTGATTGAAATCCCAAACTAAATAGAGTTGGGTGACCCACAACCCAACAAGTAAACATTTTGTCTGTAACATTGGTAATCGTAAATTGATTTAAATATGATTAGCATAAAGACGTTAATTCATACTAAGCTAACAATATTCTCGAATGTTAGGGGATACTCTACGAAACTTGTTTCTTCGGAGTCGCAATAACATGGCGATGTTTTACTAGATTTTTTTTAAATTTTATTTAGACTACAAAGGGTTACATATAGACTACAAATTGCTGATGATTATCTTTCTTTTTTCTTTTTTTTCTTCTCTCCTCCCGACAAAGTGACCACCGAATCCCAGCAAAATTTACTATATTGCCTAAGTGCAACTACAAAATTGAATTTAAAGAAAATCTCTTTCAACAAATTTTTCCAACTTGTATCATCTATTCTATACATATAATAAAACTGTAAATAGCAGACGTCTGTACATTTTATATTTTTGTAATAAAAGTGATTGAGGGGTACTAAAAATAAGTAATTAAATACATTTCTACCATTTTTAGAATTTTCTGTCTGTCTGTCTGTCTGTTTGTTTGTTAACGTATCACGTATAAAGTACTAATTTCTATCATAAGAATCGTTAAGGAAATTATAAAGTGTATCTTCGTGTTACATTTAGTCTTTATTTCATTAAAATCAGTTCATTCCATCAAAAGTTATGATAAATATTCTGAAGTATGAGTACGAAGTATAGGTACGAATTTGTTCAGCGGTGGCGATGGTTGAGTCATCAAGTGCATTTTAAACTAATATCATATCATAAATCATAATTAAATTATTAAATTATGTAAAATAATGTTCTGTAATGATATAATTATATCTAAAACGCAGTAAACAAAAGTATTAAAGAACGTATTACCCTTATTAACTAAAAAAATCTAAAGTATAATAGTTAACCAATTTCATCGATAGATGGTGTTATGGTGCAAATGTACTTCAAAAAGGCTGTGGTTTTCCTGTAGATGAGTTTTCATATTTATTGTTAAGCTTTATATTACTCGCTGCCCTACTGCGTGTAGACAACTCATTTATTATTTACTGCCGAGTACTCTATGTGGTAAATCAAATTTAAAAAAAGCTATTAACAATTCCGTTGGTTTCGGCGAGAATCAAACTTTATTTTTTGCTTACTATGCAGTCACTGATTTATAAGTTCTTTTATGTTTTATATGTATAATAATGTATCACTCGCGTAAATTAATCTCTTTTATTTTTAAGATTGATGATTGATGTTAGCAGCGCCATCTCTCTTTAAATATATACATATAATAAAAATGATGATAACATGTTGTGTCTGTTTTTGTCATGAAGCTAATACAAAGGGGAGACGGCATAAGCAACTGTGCACTGTGATTCTAAGTAGGTCCTGACATCATCATAGTGGGCGTGGCTTTAGTTAGTATACTGTCAGCATTCGTCCTGTGCGCTTATGTGTTGAAAAAATCGCAAATCGGTGTATTTTCGTAGTATTAAGAAGAAAAGGATGAAGTGTTGTGTTTTATTGTGTAAAAACTACTCAGATAGTATGGATGGCATCACATTTCATTTGTAAATATTTTTACACCTAATTTATTAAAATAGTTCTAGAAAAATCTCTGCGTCGGCTTTCAAATATAATTAAATATATTCGACACTAGATGGCGACACTTTGTGTCATGTGAACTAAAAATGTAAAGGTAGAGCTCAGTATTGGTAAAATAATCATACGAAGGTGCTGAAATTTGTTTTGCATTCAGACATAAAGAAATTTTAATCGCAAAATATCATTTTTATAGTTTATAATCATTTTGAGAACAGGCCGTATTCTCGTCAAGTAAACCTCATAAAAATGACAAAAAGACAGGGCCCTAATTAGAATTCAATTATTTTTCCCAGTAATCCAACTTTTAATATTAAATGCAGGAAATTGTACTTAGGCTGATTTTTACGAAATTTTTAAGTCATATTTAAGTGCCATTCTATATGCAAAGAATCACTTAAATACAATTTAATGTTCTTAGATTGGCATTCAAAAAGTGCATTCGGATGCCTAGTTTGGAATAAAATATTTATATTTTAATTGATTTGTAAATAAAATTATATTAATTATAATAATTTGTCTATTATTTGTTCTCCCTCAGAGATATTAAGTAGTATAACCCACACATAAATAATAATCCAGCCGTTTCTGCGTGAAAAAATTACACATACTTAGTGTGGAATAAGCTCAAGGAGATAGAAAGAGCACACAAAATTTCGCCTTTATAATATTAGTGAGATAAGTAGGATATTTAGTTCCAAATTAAATATCCTACTTAATATTGAACATAGAATATTTAGTTTCAAAGAGACTTTATTTTATGGATAAAATAAATATTTCTTGGTTGACTTTCACGAAATGATAAACATATTTAAATTGTATTTAAGTGATTCTTTGCATATAGAATGTCACTTAAATATAACTTAAACATTTCGTAAAAATCAGCCATGTACAATTTCCTTCATTTTAATATTGAATGTTGGGTTACTGGGTAAAATAATTGAATTCTAATTGCGGCCCTGTCTTTTTGTTATTTTTTATGAGGTTTACTTGACGATAGATGGCGGCCTATTCCCAAGATTATTATGAAAACTATGAAAATATTATTTTGGCGATTAAAATTTCTTTGTCTGAATGTATTTGCTTCATGAGATAGACGCTCCGATGCTATGGATGGCATCACATTTCATTTGTAAGTAATTTTACACCTAATTTATTAAAATAGTTCTAGAAAATTCTCTTTGCGTCGGCTTTCAAATGTAATTAAATATATTCCACACTAAATGGCGACACTTTGTGTCCTGTGAACTAAAAATATAAAGGTACGTAGAGCTCAGTAATGATAAAATAATCATACGAAGGTGCTGAAATTTTTTTGCATTCAGACATAAAGAAATTTTAATCGCCAAAGTGTTATTTTTAAAGTTTATAACATTTTGTGGACATGCCGCCATCTACCGTCAAGGTAGCTAAGCTACATTGCAACATCGATATGGAAAGATTCGAGTAGTTTTACTATTTATCGGTAGATGTAGATAGTGTAGTGGGCGGGGCTTTGCATCCCCTCACCCCGCAAATTGTCAAGCGTTGTTACATAGTGAAATTTAATTACAACGTCTCCTCTTTGTATTTGCTTCATGGTTTTTGTACATTGTATAGAATATTTGTCACTAAAATCATTATGGGGAAATTAAAATAATTAAATAAGCACATTTTTATAATTTTTAGAATTGTCTGTATGTCTGTCTGTTTGTTTATGAAAGCATCACGTCTAAAGTAAACATCTTTTTTTTTTCAAAGTAATCGTTATAAAATCATGAAGCGTATCTTCAAGTTTTTTTTGTTTTATTTAATTTAGTTAACTCTATCGAAAGTTATGATTAGTATTTTGAAATGTAGGTTCGACTTTATTCAATGGCGCCATAAAATCTCAGAAAAAGTAATAAAAAGATTTGTGTGTAAAAAAAACGTTCTATAATAATATATTTATATTTAAAACACAGTAAACAATAAGTTTTCCTTAAATTAAAAAAGTTTTCTCACAAAGAACGTAATAGATGGCGTTACTCCGAATCGTACTGAAACTCACTGAAGTGAGGAATCAACCAGAACCAATGTTCAAATGAAAATTAATAGATGTGATAATATATATATATATATATATATATATATATATATATATATATATATATATATATATATATATATATATAATAAGTTATCAAGAAAGGAGTGTCATTTCAATTGTTATTGTTTGAGCGTAGTGATAATATTATACTCTTAGGTTTTCTCATTAAGTCTTAAAAGTATTCTGTGCTTAAGAATCACTGATTAGAATACTACTAAAACTCTATAGACATTAAGTAATATAGTCAACCAGTGTTATCGAGAGTCGATAGGTAGCGATAATTTCCTGATCTTTACTGTCGATATACGATAGTTAATCCCTGTCATCGATAGATGGCGGTGTACAAATTATGTTCTTTGTTTGATTTGCGATGTTAAGATTCTCCGACATTGGATCATATTGAGAGTCAATGTTTCAATGCCATTAATTGTTAAATGGAAAATTACTAAGTCTAATAACTTTAATGTTTTTGCATGATATTTGTAGAGCTACTAAGTTACATTGTTGTGATGATGGTGAATATTTAACGGATTATTCTTAAAATCTTAGAATAATTACACTTACTTTTATGCTTAAAATAATATTGATTCTATGTCTAATACTTCTATGCTTAAAATAATATTGATTGGCCTTTAGTTTGAGTTTCTCTCATGCAGGATTTAGTATTAGGTAGTTTTATGGTAGGTTAGTTACTGATTAGTTTCTTTCACGTATAAGCGTCTTAGTATTAATTAGTTTAAATTATATATAGCTTATTTTTTTCTTAAATTAGTACTATTAACCTTAAGTTTTAGTTTTCTCACGTGGGTTTTTAGTATTACGTAGTTTAAAGTAGTATAGTTGCTGTAGGTTAAATTTTAAAATTCGTAATTATTTGTATTATAACATTATTGCATATTTTATGTGTTGTAAATAAATACATCATTTTATTCCTTGAACATTTTTCTAAATATTTTAATTTATTTATATATTTTTATAAATAGTGCCTACACAGGTTCTAAAAGATCTAATCTTTCTCAATATAGTAGACAAGCTAAACGAATGAGACAAATTCGTTCTCAAGAGTCAAACGAAAGTCATGAGACTCGAATCATAAGTGCTCGGCAACGTCAGGCTATAAGTCGGGACTTAGAAAGTTCAACTCAACGGGAAGCTCGACTTTTATCACAGCGTGCAAGAACAGCGACTTTTAGATCACAAGAAATGGAAGAGGAACGTGAAGTGCGGCTATTTGCGGATCGCGAGCGGCATGTGCTGTCACGTGAGTCTGAGACTTTTACCGAACGCGAACCAAGACTGTCAGCGGATCGCGACGGCATGCATTGTCACGTGAATCTGAGATTTTCACCGAATGCGAAGCAAGATTGTCAGCGGATCGCGAACGGCATGCATTGTCACGTGAATCTGAGACTTTCACCGAACGCGAAGCAAGACTATCATCGGATCGCGGACGGCATCCACTGTCACGTGAATCTGAAACTTTTACTGAAAGTGAAGCAAGACTGTCAGCGGATCGCGAACGGCATGCATTGTCACGTGAATCTGAAAATTTTACTGAACGTGAAGCAAGACTGTCAGCGGATCGCGAACGGCATGCATTGTCACGTGAATCTGAAACTTTTACTGAACGTGAAGCACGATTGACTGCGGACCGTGAGCGCACTGTCACGCGAGATTGAAAGGAGCTTGAGTAATGAGCATCGAAATGGTTATATACTGTCTGAAAGGGTTAGAATAGACGAATTACGGCAAGCAGAAACTATAGAATAACGTCAAGTACGATTAGAAACTGATCAAATTCGACATTCTCTTACTAGACGGTCAGGATCACCTGCAGATTTTAGTGAGTCCCCGGTATACAGTGTAACAGACGATGTTCTACCGTGGGGACTCAAAGAAAATGGAGCTTTTATGTATTCATCTAGGATAGATTATGCAAATTTTGCTTACATAGGTAACATGATCATATGTTGCAGTTTTTGCGATGCACTTAAATGGAGTAAAGAACCTAATGGAATTTGTTGTTCGAGCGGAAAGGTTTACATCGATCATTTTCAAGAGCCTCCAGAGCCTCTTAAATCATTACTGAACGGTGACCATCCGCAATCAAAACACTTTTTAGACAATATTCGTTCATATAATAGTGTATTCCAGATGACGTCTTTTGGAGCGAATCAAATTTCAGAAGGACCGTTCATGCCTACCTTCAAGGTGCAAGGCCAAGTTTACCATCTTATCGGATTTTTATTACCCCAAAATGAACCGAAATTCGTACAAATTTATTTTGTATCAGATTATAATGAACAGACTAATATCCGAAATCACAACTTCCCACAACTCAATAGCGAACTCATATCCCAACTTCAAAGGATGCTACATCAAATAAATCCGTACGTTTATAGTTTTGAGGCTGCATTGCAATCGATCCCTCAAGATTTAATAAACAATTATAAAATAGTTATTAACACTGACAGACGTCCTGTTACTGAACACCGTGGTAGGCACAACGTTCCTGTCACTGATGAAGTGGCAGTGATATTAGTTGACCAGGAGTGCGATAGACGTGACATCGTGTTGCACACACATGACGATCGACTGCAACGGATTTATGAAACGCATCGATCTTATGATGCTCTGCAATATCCATTAATATATTGTCACGGTGAAGATGGGTACAATTTCGGAATTTATCAAGTTAATACTAATACCAGAGAGACCAATTTTAATAAAAGAATATCTGCTCTCCAATTTTATTCGCATCTGTTACAGTTAAGAAATAATCGTTTTGCGTATCTGCAAAGATTTCGGGGGTTGTTTAACCAATTTATAGTGGACATGTATGCGAAAATAGAGACGGAGCGCTTAGTGTACATACGCACTAACCAGAGACGTCTGCGCGCTGAAGAATATGTCCACCTGCGAGACGCCATGCAGATAGACAGTAACACTGAAAACTTAGGGAGATTAGTTATCTTACCATCCAGCTTTACCGGAGGCCCGCGGTATATGCACGAAAAAACGCAATATGCGTTTTGTTACGTCAGAAAATACGGCCGGCCGGACCTTTTTATTACGTTCACTACCAATCCAAAATGGAGTAAAATATCAGAACAACTTTTTGACGGACAGGTGTCTTACGATAGACATGACATAATTGCTAGAGTTTTTAGCTTAAAATTAAAATGAATGATCTGTCTCCTAACAAAAGAAAAAGTTTTCGGTACAGCTCTCTGTTTTATGTACAGCATTGAGTGGCAAAAGCGTGGTTTGCCGCATGCTCACATACTCCTTTGGCTGCAGGAAAAAAATCGTCCCAATGCTGTTGACAATGTTATAAGTGCTGAATTTCCTAACTATAACGAGGATCCAATTTTACATGACATTGTTAAGACTCATATGGTTCATGGACCATGTGCCGCGTTAAATAGGAATTCTCCATGCATGCATGACGGGCATTGCTCTAAAAAATATCCAAGAGCGCTCCTTGAACAAACGATGTCAGGGGAAAAAGGGTACCCGTTGTATAGACAAGAAATTATTTTAGATAAAAGATGGGTAGTGCCTTATTCCCCGGTACTATGTAAAACATTTCAAGCGCACATAAACGTCGAAATGTGCAACAGTGTCGAGTCTATTAAGTACATATGTAAATATGTCAATAAAGGAAGTGACCAAGCTGTGATCGCACTGAGAAAAGTCACTAAATATCAATCTGGCCGATACATTAGCTCTTCTGAGGCAGTTTGGCGTATTTTAAGTTTTCCCATCCACGAGAGATATCCTCCAGTCATACAACTTGACGTGCACCTAGAATGCGGCCAGCGAGTGTATTTTGATCAGCAAAATGTAACAGAAAGGTTGGCTAACCCTAGACAAATCACTTTATTGGCATTTTTTCGGCTCTGCGAAACAGATAGGTTTGCGAAAACACTTTTGTATAATGAAGTGCCGTCTTATTATACTTATAACAGGCAACAGGGTATTTTTAATCGTAGGAGACGTGGAACTGCTGTAGAAGGTGAACCCGGTATTTTCAAGGAACACGTGATCGGGAGAGTCTACACAGTGCACCCAAATAATTCGGAGTGCTATTATTTAAGACTTCTTCTACATACGGTGCGTGGGCCTACGTCTTTCACAGAACTCCGAAAAGTAAACAATATTGATTATCCTACATATCAGGCTGCTTGCCGTGCGCTTCATTTATTAGATGGAGATCAGCACTGGGATGACACTTTAGCCGAAGCATGTGTCAGCGATAGTCCACATCGCCTACGTCAATTATTTGCCGTATTACTGACGTTTTGTGGATTATCGGATTCTGCACAGCAATGGCAAAAATATCGAAACCACATCTCTGAAGATTATTTGAGATTGTTGCACCAAAATAATGATACTGAGATTCTTGACAGTTTACGTGAAAATTGTTTTAATAAATCTTTATTGGCTATTCAAGATATAGTCACGAGTATTGGTGGCAACAATCTCACTCATTATGGCTTGCCTGCACCAGTAGCCGTTGTTGAACCCATAAACAGAGAATATGCATCTGAAATTAATTACGATCTTGTAGAATTAGCTGAAACACTTAAAAAAGGAATCTCAAATCACGATGGAACAGCGAACAGTATTTCATCGAGTATGCAGTAGTGTAGATAATGATTTAGGTGAAATTTTGTTTTTAGACGCTCCTGGTGGAACAGGTAAGATATTTCTGACCAACGTTATTTTGGCTCAGATACGAAACCAATCTAAAATTGCTCTTGCTGTTGCCTCATCGGGCACTGCAGCCACTTTGTTACCTGGTGGCAAAACTGCACATACAATGTTTAAAATACCTATCAACTTGGATCACACAGAAAGCCCGGTATGCAATATTTCAAGAAATAGCGATAAAGCAGCAGTTCTACGCGATTGTTGCCTTATAATTTGGGATGAGTGCAGTATGGCAAATCGCAAAGCAGTGGAGGCAGTTGACAGAAATTTACAGGATATACGGCAAAATAACCGCTCAATGGGTGGTATAACAGTGCTTTTCTGTGGAGATTTCAGGCAGACTCTTCCAGTTATACCGAGGGCAACACGGACAGATGAAATTAGAGCCTGTCTAAAGAGTTCGATTCTATGGCGCAGTATAGTATCAATTCATTTAAGCATCAATATGCGTGCGTAATTAGGAGGGAGCTTTAACGCACAAGAATTCTCCGACCAACTTTTGAAAATTAGAGATGGCACTTTTACACATGAAGAAAATAAAATCATTTTAACAGACAATTTATGTTGTTCAGTTCCATCACTGAAAGATTTAATTTCGTCTGTGTATGGCAATATTATAGAAATAACTCATCAAACAGCTTCATGGCTATACGAAAGAACTATTTTGGGCCTACGGAACGACCAAGCGGTGGCTATAAATTCTGAAATATTGAGACACGTTCATGGTGAAAGTTTCAAATACACGTCTATTGACACTGTCATTGAAGAAGATGACGCTACCAACTACCCATTAGAGTTTTTAAATTCCATAAGCACGCCTGGTCTTCCAGCACATAAAATTGCTTTAAAAGTAGGCAACCCCATAATCTTGCTCAGAAATTTATGTCCACCTAAGCTTTGTAATGAGACTCGACTAAAGGTCAATGACATTTTGTTGCAAAAGGAAATTGCAACAAAATGTCATTGAGGCCGAAATTTTAACAGGTTGCGGTGCCGGTGATATTGTTTTTATACCCAGAATCCCCCTTATACCAAATAACTTTCCTTTTAGTTTTAAGCGTGTTCAGTTCCCAGTCAGTGTGTGTTATGCGATGAGCGTAAATAAAGCGCAAGGTCAAACTTTACGCGTTGCAGGAGTGGACCTGAGTACTGACTGTTTTGCACATGGCTAACTCTATGTTGCTATTTCCCGCGTTAGTAGCCCCCGTATCCTTTTTGTGTACGCCCCAGATAATTCTACTTCTAACGTCGTTTACACTGAAGCTCATAAACGACATAGAACTAGGAGGATAACGAATTATTTTGTTATCACTTATTGATCCAGTAATGATATAAATCGTTTATTATTCTCTTACCTAAACGTCAAATTCTGTAAGTAAAACCTATATACGCGAGCTACGCCACGGGCACAGCTAGTCATTAATATATCCAACAACAGACCGCTGTCAAACATAGACTGAAAAAGTCTGTCAGGGAAGATGTCAGGGGAAGAAAATGCCACAAAAAGATAGTGTTGAGCAACCTTCCTCACTTGATTCTGTGCACTGATACATCTAACTTTGGATCACTCAAGGCCGTCGTCCACTTAATACCAATAAACCAAACATATAAAAATACACTATTAACACGAAGAAACCGACTACTCAGTGATGTAAAATAATACTAATTCAGAGCGTTTTTATCGATATATCGTCACCGTCATCGACACCGATATTATCTAGAAGCTCTTTCATTCAACGACCCGGTACCGATATCGTAGGTATAAAACAGTACTTTCATGTCTAGACTAGATTACTGTATTGTATTTTTGATATCAACATCATAATCATTTACATCATTAAAGTCTATTGCATTTCCACCATAAATTGCTTTATAGGAGGAATATTTGCCATAGTTGCCACGTTTGGCAGGGTGGTTGACAATCGCAGTTTCTTATTATTTTGCATTGTGATAAGAATGATGCTGCTGCCCATCTTTTGGTTTATTTCCCTCTGTCGTCTCTCAAGACAGCAACGGGATGATGTCTCCTCTCGAGTCTCAAAGTTCAGCGTTCCACACAACAAGGCAAATTCTTTCGTACGATATTAAAATGCCACAAGCAACTAGTCGAATCAAATTAACGTCAATCAAAATTAAGTTAATAATTCAAACCCAATACAAGCCTCCCATCACGAAACGTCCAAATCGGACAAACCAATTCGAGGTGGTGTACACGAGACCCAAATATTCAATAGTCAATTAGGCGCGCACAATTTACTCTATATCTCCTCTCGGGTGACACATTTTTAGCGTTTCAAAACTCAAAAGGGCCTCTTGTTCCTTAAAGCACGAAAGACAATCAATAAGAGGCGTTTGTCACGCGGCCGACCGCCTCACACCTAACCGTCAAACTTTAAGACTAGCCTCGTTATCACGAAAACAAATTGAGATAACACCGTAGGAGGCGCGCGACCGACCGTCGCGTCACGACGCTTTTTCATACAAACCGGCAGCCGCGTCCTCGAATGGAATGCGAACGGGAACAGGGGGGCGACGGTGACTTTGGTAACATCGGATGCACGAGTCGAGCGCGCGTCGTGAATACAAACTTTTACAGTGTTAATTATTTGGCCTAAACACAGACATGTATACGAATCCTTATCTAGAATTTAAACATTCTTTAAAAATATCATTAGTTCTTATATTCGTGTAAATCAATTAGCTTCAAAAATTAACAAGTTGAATCCCGGCCACTAACATAATATGTACTAAAACTACAAAACGCAAACCGGCACATACTGAAACAGTCATTAACCTTTAGGTAAAAGTGCGTGAAACCTAAAAGCGGACTGCGTATACTTACTTAACTGGCATAAAGTGATGAGAATGTTGAGAGTTGCCTTTGATCTTCAAAGGACCTTTTAAATAAAGCCGACATGAGTACGTCACAAAGATCATTTGTATTTAAGTAAGCGAGTAATTAAATTTTCCCATTCTAGAATATAAAGATTAATTTGTTGAAGTATGAAATTGCTCTTTCGTATGGAAAAAACAAAATTTATATTATTAACTAATTCCACTGAATATACTAATTAACAAATATAAAATTGGTCCCAGAGCTCATCACGCATTTTTCTTTTTACTTATTTTTTTTATAGGATAAGGGTAACAAACGAGCACACAGTCCACCTGATGGTAAGTGGTTGCTGTGGCCCATAGACATCTACATTTATCCTTGATTACGAATCAAAATGCAGATGCGTTGTCACCCTTGAGGACTAAGATGGTATGCCTCTTTTCCAGTAATAAGGGTCTCCGGTTCTCTACACTCACCATACGACACAGCAGCATTAAGCTGCTATTTAACGCTGGTATTCTGTGAGAGCGTGGTCCTTCCCCGGTTGAGCCGACCCATTCGTGTTACAACTATACCAGAAATATAGCTGCAGCATGGCTATACCACGTCTGAAAAGTGTTCTTGAAGTATTTGAAGCATCATGAAACTTTGTTGAAAAGTATCAGTCCACTCAATAAGCAGATATATAACTGTTTACCTGGACTATCTGGGTACTGCGCAAACAGGTTAGTCGCAAAAAAAATGTTATTGTATAAATTGGCCAAAATATAAAAATAAATGTTAAGTAAGTCCGAAAATAATCTGTCATCTGCGAGCTATTTTGACGTGAACACGTATCACCCAAAAAGCTGTGAACCAACTTGGATGGAACTATCATTAGCAGATAGCTGATGTTATGAGGAGAATCTTAGGCTGCTTTTATTTTAAGGTTCCGCCCCAAAAAAATTCCACGCGGGCGATTTCGCGAATAATAAGCGTGTGAGGCGTGCACTTTTGGATTTTTCAAATATTTACAATTACGTTTAGTGAATTGGTTGACGTCACTTTATGTCGTATATTTTAGAGAGTATCTTTAATTATTAGACAAGGGCTGGGGTTGTTATAAACTAATTTGCTTGATTCCGCGTAAAGTAAGAAAATGATGTGTCCTGCCCGGTTTTAAGGGGACCACACAGGGGGGTACGCCGATATTTGCTGTGAAATTAACAACAAACTACTGCGAAACGTCCGCCTACCCTACAGCCACGCAACCAAATGCTGAACACCACACCGTGAGCTATATATTATCAAGGAGTAGACTTAAACATGTTTAAGAGAGGCCTGTACGCGGCTAAATTGTAACCCCAATAAATCACATTTTGCTAAACATCTCTTAGACACTGGACACAGCCTAGCCAATGACCACTCCTTTAAAGTCTTACATACTTGTAATAAAGGGCTACGACTGTGTGTGCTGGAACAGTTAGAGATTTAAAAAATAATAACGGTAACGTTGCACTGCTGAATGAACAAACAAATGTTTCTAACTCGCCTCTCTTAAACATGTTTAAGCCTGCTCCTTGATGATATATACTCGTAGCCTCGCCACATGGTCGTTTTTCACCCTCACGGTGCGGTAGTCAGCGTTTGGTTGCGTGGCTGTAGGGTAGGCGGACGTTTCGGAGTAGTTTGTTGTTAATTTCACAGCAAATATCGGCGTACGTCAGGCGGTGATTAATCGCATGACTTAATCGCTCGCTACGTAAATTGGAGCGCGGTTGCGTCAGCAAGTAGTATATATAGCAGTAGTTTCGGCTCGCCGCTCACTTAGCGGCCAGCCTCCGCAAAGTCTATTTCACCTAAGGATGCCTCGTGTAGAGGCGAAACACGTGTCGTATTTTGAGAGTGGTGTGTCGTGCCTAGTGTGGTGGTGCTGGGGGTGGTAGTGCTGGGATTAACGGCGACGGGTATAGTGCGCGCAATTAAGGGAGGGAGGGAGGGTGGGAGGTCCCCTTAAAACTGGGCAGGACACATAATTTTCTTTTTTTACGCGGAATTATGCAAATTAGTTTATAACAACCCCATTATAATGGATTTAAGCAAAGTAACGCCTGATTCTATCGATTAGATAAGGGCTATTTAATTTAAAAAAATTAAGTAATGCAATACGAGTAGCGCTTTTGACTTTAAAATAATTGACTTGGAAAATTTAATTGTTACTATTACTTTTTTTTATTCATATATAAAGGGCTTTATCGCTGATGCAATTATGCCGCCCTGGTAGTTACAAAACAAATCTTAAATATAGTCGTGAGTTCGAATCCACCATTCGACTACTGTCGTGAACCATTTCTAACACAAGCATTTTAAGCTTACCAGAAGTGGTTAAAGGGAATATTAGTAATGTTTAATAACATTACTAGTATTTAAAAAAAAATATTTGGATAAAATTACTACTAAGCAAATTTAAAATAAACTTTGCTTTTAAATAAACTGGTTCTTTTCTCTCTCAAATGCTAAGTATCTATTCAGCGGGGAAACGCAGCCAGCTTTCATGGCACGATACCGCGGGGAGTAGGACTGTATGATAATTAAGTTACTAGTTTTAGATTTTTTTATTACATTTTTTAAATAAACTTTAAAACCTAACATTTTGGAAATATTTCGACTAGTTTATGCGTGAATAATGAATACACAAGCAGAAAATAATTCAGAAATTACTAATTTGACCTAAATGACCTTTATCTAGTCACTAGATCTGTTTGTTTAGAAAATATTAAAATTACAATAACAACTTTTCTACAGATTTACCATATTTATATGTATACAATATATACAATATTTAGTTTCTTTTTATTTATTTTAAGCTTCAGTTAAAATCTTATCGAAATGATAAGGCTTAAAAATTTCCTTTCACAATTGCCGGCTTCCATTTAAAGGTTATTATAATATATTTCTGATACTTAAAAAAAACCTTTGTCAAAGATCTAAAAATCTCTTGTGAACCAAAGTGAAAGGGAAAATTCGAGCTCTTTTATTACAGAAAGGTAGGTGTTTGTTAAAAAGCTTTGAGGGATAATCTGACTTCTGGTTGTAAGAAAGCTGGAATTTACTCTCTCTCTCTTTTTCACCTTTTTATAAAAGGAATATTG